TACAAGTCCCTCCATGCCCCCCAGTACCTATCGGACATCCTTCACCCACATGCCCCACCCCGGAACCTGCGGTCTTCAGACTCTGGCCTGCTTATAACCCCCCGCACCAAACTGCGAACCTTCGGGGACAGAGCCTTCAGCGTGGCAGCCCCCACCCTCTGGAACGCTCTCCCTGCGGAGATCCGCAACATCCCCATACTTGACGCCTTCAAAAGGGCCCTCAAGACCCATCTGTTCATCAAGGCCTTTGGCCCCTAATCTATTTGTTGTTTTGGTCTGTCTGGTTGTCTGATTGCCTTTTGTTTTGTTATGTTTGTTTTGCCCTGTTCTTCCTTGTAAAGCGACCTTGGGTCCCATGAAAGGCGCTATATAAATCTAAGCTATTATTATTATTATTAATTCCATGAAAATTGACGATTCAATATACTGCAGTTATCTTGAGAAAACAAAGAGAGCCCCAATTCAATGTCACCATGTGGCAGTTCTTTCAAGTCCCTGTCACCCCCCAGCAGCTTTATGTTTTAAAACAGAAGCCTTGCAACAGTTTTTCAATGATTGACTGACCGAGCTTTGAAAAGATTTACTGTAGATCTGAAATATGAATGATTAAGCGAGCCTCTTTCCATTTTGAATCTAAAACCCTTTCTATAATCTATGTAAATGTGGGTCTTACACTAAAATACGTTATTGGTGAAGAACCTGGTACTTTTGGGACTATTTTTAATTTGTCTTGCTCCGTATGGCTGAAATTGGGATTCTATCATGTCACATGAAGATTTTTAAAGCTAATGATGATTTTATAAGCTATAATTGATGTTATTTCAACGGAGAATTAATCATAGAAATCATCATGAATCATTGAAGGAGAAATCAAAGTCCAATCCAACTCCAAAGGGAGAGATATTCCCATCCCCAACCATATTAACACAATTTTTTCCCTTTGACAACAACTTAAAAGTGGCCCTATTATGCATATTGTCAGGTTCACATTTGTATTTTGTGCCTCTACTGTGACATATTTACATACTTTTATGTTAAAAAGCTCTTTATATTTCTTATACTGCCTGTGCTGCAGCACCTCTTTTCACCCTCTGTCTGAAACCAGAGCCCAGTCTGCTCTGATTGGCATACTCTGTTGTGATTGGACAACCGCTAAGATATGTCCCGCCCCTTAGCCTATCAAGTACAATGTGTTTGAGCGCAAGCCAATAGAAGTGCGAGTGTTACACAGTGAGCTTTTGTCGTCCATTTACATGCACTAAAACCCACACTACAGGAAAAGGAAAACCCCAAAAGCATAATAGGGCATAATTTAAAGACCACCATGCAATGCGACCACATGACATGTTAAAGGTCCCATGTCATGGCCATTTCTACTGATCATAATTCCATTGTTGAGGTATACTAAAATAGATTTGTATTGTGCAATTTCCCATAATAACCGGACATGACATGGGACCTTTAACACATTTTTCTGTTTTGTTTACAACAATGCAGACACTGATCCATTTATGCATCACCTTAATGTTCACCGAGGGGTAACAGGATAGGGCTGCTGATGGGAAATCATAATGTGTGCGTGTGCATGTTGTGTGTGTGTTCAGTGGAAATCTGTGGTCTAACGAACATAAGAACCAGGGTTCAGGACTTGGTGGTAGACTGGATGTCTCCCAGACTCACAGCTTCGTCATGATAAACGAGGGGAGCAAAAATCAATACGTCGATGAATCTTGCGCTGTAGTAATTAAATATAACTCAGACAAACAAGATCGGATTTCTTAACTATCGGCAGAATTATGAGTACACGTATTAGAAAATGCTTACAAGTGGGGTTCACAAGTGTTTTGAATTTCAAATTTCCCCCATGTAGACGACCCTTTTGAAGTGGTGCCCCATTACGTAAACTGGTCACAGTTATGGTTTGTGTATTCCCGAGCTCTCAACAAATACACAAATTCCTCGAGGTCTTAGTGACAGAGGCTTAGTTGGAGATTATGTTGGCTCGGAGAGAGTGTGGCAAAATATGGTCCGTGCGCTTGTTTATGTGTGCATTTTTTCATGTTTTTGCTGCATATGTGAAGCTACTGAAGGTGGTTTCAAAAGAAAAGCTGCAAGGGATTTCTCAGAGCACACACAGTACAAGTAATTCTAGTTTAAGTCAATATGTGCCTGTAGGCCAAACTAAGAACAAGACAGCACATACAGTATTTTGCCTGAACACAGGGCAGAAATAATGACATTAGTTTAAATATATTGGTTGTGTTTACTAACATATGAAGCACTTAAAGCCAAGAGCAAACATGAATGTGTCAGCTGCTGTTTTGTGTCAAATGTCGAATAGTCCAATTATTTAGTTTGATAAGGATATTCAATTATACCCTGAATGTTTCTTTTATGAATGAGCAGGTCCACTTTAGCTTTGTTGTTCAGCCGAAAGAGTTTTACTTGAGAACCAAGCAGTTTGATCCTAGTCTGACTCTGAAGTGGGATCCAGGCAGCTGTCGTTTATCAAACCTTTGTGTCAAACCTTAAAACCACAACAAGCTGGAGATGCCATGAGGAGTTTTTCCAGACCAGAGCAGTCTGGATTTTCCAGGCCCTCACATTTTCTTTTGAATATTAAACGTTATGGTAATGTCCCCTCTGAGGAGTGAGATTAGCTCCACTAGCGCCAAGCTTGTTCTCATCAAAATTACTTCTCGAGATCTGAGGACGCGATTGTTTCTGGTTCAGGTGAGGAACTACTATGGAATCCAGTCCCACAGATAGCTGTGTCTCTCATGTGAGGCACACATGTACTGTTCCGATCGAGCACATGATGAGAGACTTGCGTCAGCTTTTCATAGATATTCCAGTCAGCCAACCAAAGCTGTGATCTTCAGATGAAACTGCAGCAACTGTGAGTCTCCGCTGAGAGCAACAGGGTGAAATAGTGAGTAGGGAGGGCACCTTGATTTATTGTGCCTGATGCTGAAGTTCTCTTTAATAAGAACTCCTTACAACAAAGAATTCCATATTAATGCTGTCCACTCTATCATTTTTATCAGCAGTTTCTCTCTCTCCCCTCAGCTATGCAGTGATAGCTTACGGCTGTGCAGAGTGTCCCAAGCTGAGCTGTGGCCGTGAGGGTTGCGACACCGAGTTCTGCTACCACTGCCGGCAGCTGTGGCACCCCAACCAGACATGTGACCAGGCCCGGCGGCAGCGAGCACGTCACACCTCCGGCGGCAACGATTCCTCCACGCTGTACGTCTTCAATGAAGAACCTGGAGGAGGTGAGACCAACAGCTGCCGTTAACTTGCTTTCAATGTCTTTATCCCACATTTTATGAGAGACAAGTGAGAAATAAACTTCTGGTGATCCATTTTCAGATCTGATTTACGTTTTCTCTCCTGTGTTTATGAGATAAGAACAGGGGGAAATAATGGTTTTGCCGGATCTATATTTCTTTGTCATCATCATCTTTGAATCGGGTAAAGATAAAGGTTTTGTGAGGATCATTTTTTTCAAGTTTTTTTTTATCAATAATTCCAGGTGATTATTAGAGTGCATTCAAATAATTTTTTCACAGTTAAAAATAGAGTCACTTAGGAAATGTTATTGGCAAAAACCCACCTGTTTCATTACAATAAACATAGATTGAATATCTCTGCATCAGCATATCCAAGGATGGGAAATGGATCACAATACGTTCCTTTTCTCACCTGCCTGAATTTGTTCCAGTATACTATGTTATTGTTCCTGGATGAACAAGTATTGTGTGGACACCCCTGACACATTCACTCTGTTGCTGAAGATGCAGAGGAGATCAAAGCGTGCCCTCGCTGCGGTGCCTACATCATGAAGACAAACGACGGCAGCTGTAACCGTATGAACTGCACTGTGTGTGCCTGTCAGTTCTGCTGGCTTTGTATGCAGGAGATCACCGACGTGCACTACCTCAGGTACGCCTTTCAAACTCCTCTCATGGAAACAAACAATGAACAATCAAATGCCCACATCTAAGTAAACAATGTCGTTTTGTATAAATTGAGAACATGCAGTGAATATATCATCTTATTGACAATTATAGTACTTTGTTTACCCTCAACATGATCATTTGTATATGAATTATTCACTCCATGATACTTTGAAATAGTGAAGAAATCGTTGTGTTTCTCACATGTCTCCACAGTGAACGAAGAATACAAAAACAGACGATTCTTGATTAATTTAAGAGAATGTGAGGGGTTTAACAACAACACAACTATATCAAAACATCTGTTTACACACTTTTAGACAGCCAGTGCAGTTCAATCCTATTCTAATCTATCCAATTCTCTGCTCAGTACATCCCAAACTCATGCATTTTTGCTAAAAACCTTATTTTATAAACTTCCCCAAGAACAGTCTTGGGCTTGCACGTGCACACTACTATCCATGTGAGTACTTACTGTATCACGCAAGAATGTCTACGTTTCTTTTAAAACGTAGATTTACTGTTTTTGTGGGATTAACACCATTATTCTATCTATAGGTTTTAAAAGCAGTTGGAGATAAAGTTAGCCACTCAGCAAGGCGCGTATACATGAGGTCATTGTTTAGAGGCTGCTTTACACTGCTCGTCTGGCCTTCTATTGATTTTTCTAGTCCTGGAGAGGAGACACTGCTGACTTGTCATCAATACATCAGCTCTATCCGCCTCCATATTTCCATGCGGCAAAATAAGTAACTGAAGCTTCAGTATAAGACATGCAAATCTGTCGATGAATGTGTAGAAAATCTTTGTCTGCAGGCACTACATTGTGCTTTTTCTCCACTGTCCCTTCTCCTTTTCTCTTACCTCATTCTTGTGTGTCTATAGAAGGACAACGTTTTTAGCATCTCACTGCAAATCTGTCAGTTAAGAGCAACATAACGAAACTTTAATACCTCCCCAAAATTCCCCCCGCTCAGGCGTCCCCAAAAGGAAGTTTTGCTGATAAAAAAGGATGCTTTGAAAAATAGCATAGCCCTCAGGTGCTATTTGTGTACTTCACGTTGTTACTGCTGCTTCGACACGGTAATTGCTGCTTGATTAAGACCAAACAGCATTAGTTTGAGTTGTTCTGCTCCTTGGCAGTTAGAATTACACCACAACACGGAAAGCTGTTACTACATTAAAGAAGCACGGGAAAATGTATTCTGTCTAACGTCATAGCCAGTGAAAAATGGACTCCTCATAAACAGACTTAAATAACCTTGCTTTTTCATTAATCAAACAGCAGTGTGTAAGATGAATGAGTATGTGAATGGTAGTGGCAAATGACTGTAATTCAGAGAGAGATGACAAAGCTAGAATGAGAAATGCAGATGAGGTCATTCTGTCTGGCTAATATTGCAATGACAACACATTTTGTTGTCAGGACTCATTTATTTCACCTCTATCTTAATAGAGAATCATTCAAAATCGTTTTATTTTTGTCGGATGTGGCTGCATGATGATGATGTAGCAATAGAGGGGATGGTTATGAATGTGTCTGGGTGTATGAACTGAACACACACCATTTTCTTAATTGAAAGAATTAAGCTTGGATAACAAGATATATAGATTCTAATCTAGACAAAGACAAAGAGTCTACACCATTTAGCTATGCTAGCGGGTCGGTGAAACTGTGCTTAGGGCAGGAGAAGTTAGCCTTCAGGGCTTTCTGACGAAAAAAATTCTTAGCTTTAGGCAACACAGCTACTACTACTACTACTACTATCATGGTTTGGGTTAAATACACTCTTTCTGGCTAGAAAGGCCTGAAGGCTAAATGCTAACAAGCTGATATTTAGCAGGTAATATGCAGGCTCCTCATTTAGTTAGCCTGTTAGCATGCTAACTTTTCAAAAAACACTTGATGCTGCTGGGAATGACAATGATTATTTTCCCTCCAGGTTCGTGAATATTTCTTCCATGTTCCACAGCAATCCATCTAATATTTGTCAAAATATTTCTCTCCAAAACAATAAATGTCGTTGCGCTACACATGTCAAGGAGACACTAAAGTCAGTAGTATTTATTCTCAGGGTCTGTACAACAATTCATGGCAATCCATTATATACTTTTTTTTTTTTTTTGCAAGAACGAAAGGGAAACAAACTTACAGACAGGAGGAAATTCCCACTCAAACAGGCATGACCTTTATGTGGCTAAATCAGCTATACTCTGTGCATGATTACAGTTTGAACTCACAGCTGATCTCTCCTGTTGTGTCTCCTTTGTGTCTCAGTCCTTCTGGATGTACATTCTGGGGGAAGAAGCCATGGTCTCAAACCCGCAAGGTTTTGTGGCAGGTGGGCATGTTGCTCGGAGCACCGGTGGTCATCTCCCTTATAGCGGGCTTAGCCATCCCAGTCATCATTGTGGGCATACCAATCTACATGGGCCGCAAGGTAGAAAACTCCCAGTAAATCCTGTGTCCGGTTTGAATGCATGTGCTTACCTTTTGAACGAGTGTGTTTATGCCGCAAAAACAGCAGAAAGTCCAAAATGTAGAAACTATGACTTACTCGAATGTTAAAATGTTCATGTTATCAACAGATGAAAAATAAGCTTTCGTTAATGTCATTAGGGAAATAATGGAAATCAGGTGGATTAGGTGGAAACTAAGGGCTCATGGGCAACTCCACTGTGCTCTTAATAGTTATGCATTAGTCTAAATTGGTGGTAGAGCCACGTTATAGCTTTTCACTCAGGCTGAGTTTCTCATGCTTGTTGGGATGCATGTATTTGAGCATGAGAATAAGTGACAGGAGTAAGTTGTTGCACAGAAGGACAACAACAAGAACCAATTCAATTTCCATAATCTAATGTATGTTTTATTTATCACCATACAGGTCCATGGTCGCTGTAAGAAAAACAATATCTCAGGAAGTAAGCACTACTTGACTGTGGCAAGTGGGGTGATGATGTCCGTGTTTGTGTCGCCTGTCATAGCAGCTGTCACTGTGGGTAAGGAACAAACAACAACATGGACTCTTTCTGTCCGGCATAAATACTAAAAAAAAAATTAAAAGTGTAAAATGAGCTTGTTTGTGAAAAAGTAGAAAAGTGTTTAGGGCACTTTGTTTTAAAGAAAGGGGATTCAATTGCCACAATATCCTGAAATGCGATCTTTTATTTCACACACCAAATTATGATAATTATAAACTTTATTTCAATCCTTCAAAACCAGATTTACAAGGTTCTCCACAGAACACCATTTGATGTAGTATTTTTAATTTTTTATAATACACAGAAAAAGCAATAAACAATGGATTTTAAGAGGTTGCCAAACACGGAGAGATAAAACTAAATGTAAAAGAACAACATTACACAAATAATAAATATATACCAGTCTGTGACCTTATCTTAAACTTAAGCAACAGAGTTGGAGGTTGATCCTCCTTTGATTCTAATTCTCCGCTAAATATATATTGCTATTTGATCGTGGTTGCTATTTGATCATAAATCTTAAGTTTACTGCTTTATAAATACCCACAAGCTAGGTCTCTATTAGCCACCACTTTTCAATTAGCACACACACACACACACACACACACACACACACACACACACACACACACACACACACACTTACACAATATAACACATTTAGCCACACTGTACTTTTCACCCCACACACAACACACACACACACACACACACACCACACACACACACACACAAACACACAACTTACACAATATAACACATTAGGCCACACTGTACTTTTCACCCCCCCCCCCGGCCCCCCGGGTTTGCATCTACTCCGTCGTTATCATTTTCCTCTCTCCCCGCACTACAATTATGGTTTTGTTTCTTATATTTCCCCCACAGTTCCCTGTCTTCTCTGTTTGACTGACACACACATCCTGTCTTTCTGTGAGCTGATTGGCTGGCAGGCTCTTCCTCTTGCCCTGGCTTCACCCATTATCGAGTCAATAGCGTCCCAGTGCTCCCGCTGTGTTAATGATGTCTCTTTGTTTGGTCGGCACTCTGCTTTGTGTTTCCAAATTCCTATCTCAATCACAGGTTGCATAATCACACTGTGTAGGGAAGCTCATCAAGTTTCTGGACTGATTGCAACGGCTTTAGTGAAGGTTATGAAGGAGAGTAGGGAGACATTTAATGTGTGGAAAGGAAGATTTTCTTGGCTACAATCGTTATTTGCGGCTTTATTCTTATTTTGACTTGAAGACAGGTGATCTACCCAGTGAACACTTCATTTGTTATTTTATATTTTATTGACAGCAGGGGACAATGAAGGAGGAGGGGCTCCCTCTTGTGTTTATTTGAGGTGTTGCAATGCTTTGAAACTTGAAATGACAGCTTTATTAAAATACAATTTTAAATGAAAAGAAAAGTATTTCAATAACCATTTGTATGCTATTAACAGATATTTGGCACATACTTAAAAACCACTGATTGTGAGAAATATATTATGAATTGGTTTCTCATACTTTTCTTTTTCCCTGCAGGTATGGGTGTGCCACTGATGCTGACGTATGTCTATGGGGTCGTCCCAATGTCGCTCTGTAGGAACGGCTGGTGTCGACCCCAGAATGAGCCCCTTGAAACACACAAAATCCAACTGGAGGACTTAGCCAGCTGTGAGTACACGTTATCAAAAATAGTTAGATATTTTGGGAAATATGCGTATTTCGAGAATTAAATGAGAAAATGGCTATCAATTGAATTTAACAGTAAACCATGGAGCTGGATACATGAGGCAATTTGCTTAGCATAACATAGTATACATCCCAAATAAGAAACACATAAGAAAATAAATGTTTGTATATGGTTAAAAATGTGTCTATCAGTACATAGCCTATAAATGTTGGAAGTAGTATAGGCATATTTTTAAAGTGGTGGGTAGATCTTATAAAGGCTCTAGCTTCATACAAATGAACAACATACAAAATCAAATTAGCGATATCCAATGTTAAATCTAACTTGTTAAAGACTCTTGTCATCTGTTCAATGTTATTTGTGCTCTTCCCACGACCTGATCTGATTGAGTTTCAACTTCTCTTATAGATCTTCTATTCTCTCATGTAGTCAGTGACCACTGGCCGGGTCAGAAGAACCCAACGCTCAGTGACACCAGCGTCCAGGAAGTCAGAGTCAGTGTACAGGAAGTGGGCGTCCTCCCTAGTACAAGTACCACGCCCCCGGAGCTAGATAGTTATGAGGAATTGGATGAAGCCACAAAACACCACGGATACTCCCAGCAGGACAGCCAATCGGACTGCGAGGTGGTTATTGTGCCTGACAGCAAGCTCGATGACAAACATGCTCCTTCTTTTAGGTACAGGTCATCTCTTATTCTGTTGATTGTTTCTACCATAGACTGTATCTACACCCAAGATGTTTAGACATGTTCAAGGCATGGCTTTAGGGATGCCATTTGTTTGACATTTAGATTATTGGTCTGTCCACCACTTTGCTTCGTACTGAAATGTCTCAAATATTGTTGGATATATGGCCATGAACTTTGGTAAAGATATCCATGTTCCTCTCTGGATTATTTCTACTCAAATACTAATTTGTCCAACATTTTTGAAAAACTGATGACATTCCTATCAGCCTCAACTGTACATTGTTGCTAAAAAGCACTACACCAAGGCAAATTCCTGGTATACTGTATGTTAACCTACTTGGCAATAAACCTGTTTCTGATTCTGAAGTTAGCATGCTAAAACTTTAGATATACATTCTAAGCATCAGCATGTTAGCATTAGAATAATGCACAGCTATGCATATAAGTATATATATAAATATATATATATCATGTGACTTTAGATTTGGAATCATAAAGATGTCCTCTGCATAAACGTCCTCAAGTCCGAAACATTTTGATTGCCTAGCAGTTTCATATTGATTTCTTCATGTCTCTTACTGTCACCACAGGGAAGGAACCAATTTTGAAGTGCGTGTGGAAATTGAGACCCAACCCAGAGGCGCCCGCCAGTCCAGCCTCAGTAGCATTCTGTCTAGCCGAAGCTTGTCGGTGGAGTCCCTGGGACGCACGCAGTCCCAGTCCCAAGGCTACCTGTGTGCCTCAGAACTGGAAGAAAGACGAGAGGGGGGAGGAGGAGAAAGCGAGGAGCAGGAGGGAAGAGAGAAACCAGGAGGGGAAGCAGGAGACGAAGGGACAGTTTTTCCAGTCTTTGAAATAGACGGTGTATGAGGTCGTCCAATGCAGGCATTGTACTTGGTTAAACATAAGTCAGGTGGTATGGAAAGAAATCCATTAGCTGACGTGCCATTGGATTGACCTGAAAATCGCCAAGGCCACCTCCTGCTTCTAAGACCGGCCCCTCCCACCAGTTGCCTTCTAGCTCCAGCCTCTAAGGAAGACGCGGGTTTAGAGACAGCAAATGAGAAAGTGTGTGAGTGTGTGAATGAGACAAATAGCATGAGACTATGAAATAAAAATTGGAGGGGGGATAGACTGAAAATCAGACAGGATTGCATCCATCAATGAATCTAAAACAGAAGTGACTGAGAGCATGTTAGCTGACTAAGTCAGCCTGGATTTTTTCTATGTTGTCCTCTCAAAAGGACTACCTTACACCCCCTCTACCATAAATCTATTTCATGCGGCCCTCTCTTTGTCTGGCTGTGCTCTTACACTTCTTTAGTGACCTCACCACCCTCTTCCCTCTCACTTAACAAATAAAGAGACCCCTACAAGCATGATTTGTTTTATGGGAGATACAGAATCTGTTGTGTCAGCGAGTACATATCACATGAATCTCAAGCCAAGTTATAAGACAGGAGGGGTTTTTTTTTTTCTGCCTTAAGGAATATCTCCGGTCTTTTTAGATGCAGTGCTCACACCTGAATTGGACAACCTTAAACGGATGATGCATGCAGCACTGTTCAACAACTCTTGTGAACCAGATGAAAAACGACATCTGAAAACTGTTGAAGCCTGTAACATTTCTCAATAGGGGTGAAGGGTGCTCCGTGACATGGAAGTATTTGAAATGATGGTATGGTTAATTATAACTAATAATCTCAAATCCACAGTCTTCCATGGAAGCAGAAAGGAGGTAATGTTACTTTTGCATCATTTTAGTGCAGCTTTTAGCCTTTAAGAGGCTATTTCCTTTCAAACTGGAGAGGGGGACATAGCTTTAGTTTGTAAAAATGTTCACTCTAATGCAGATACTTGCCTTCATTAGTGACAAAAACATGGCAGCAACACTGAAGTATTTTTCTGAAGAGTCTTACATTTTAAAGTAGCTGCATGATTCTACTACTTGCTGTGTATACAGGATAGCACATGAACACACACCCACCCACACACACACCACACACACACACACACACACACAGAGCGCAGTCAGTGTAGTTGCAGTAGTGTGCGCTGCTGAGACTCGTCTCGTACATATTAGTACATAAAGAGTATTTAAGAGATCATCCCCAATTAATCTCAAATCCGGACTGCACTACGACACACAGTAACACCACGAGCACCTGTAAACTCTCCAAGAAACTCAAATAT